CTATTATGAGAGGAGTTATACAAAAAGTACATTTCCGTTTTCTAATTTCATTGGCAATTATTCTGTAATAATAAAGTGACAAACAATTAATAGTTTAATATTTTTTTTATATTGAGCTCTGTTAAACTCTGCCACAAATATCTATCATTTTCTGCTTGCCAGTGCAGTGGTTTTGAGGCTTTTCATTTAATTTTCTTAAGCTTGTGACTGGCATAGGAATGCTGTCTTCCTTTTTAAGTACAATGTGTTCCAACCCAGCATTGTCTCCCATCTTAGCACCTCTGCTACCAGAGGTACTAACTGACACAAATAAATAAAAACCTCATACTGTGCCTCCTGGTTGCAGAAAAAAAAACCAAACAGTTTCTTATCTGTAATTAAGCAAATAATATGTAAATACAGTCTATTTTATATTATGTATTTCAGGGAGCAAACTGCTGCAGACTGTAGGCTTTTGCAATTGTGGAATATCCTGACTATTAGAATCGTGCATGTTGCTGTAGCAGTATGGTGAGTTACTCCGTGAATGAACAGTAAGTTGTATTTCCTCTGGCAAAGGAGACAGGGAAAACTGATGTTAAGGAAATCACTCTGGCAGTGTTCTCGTGTTGAGAAGAAGTGCCATATCATATTAATTAAAGTGCCACATCCAAAACTGATCAAAGGATGACTCACTTTTACACGGTGGATGAAGGAACTGGTTCACTTTTACACAGTGAATAATAAAACTATGGAAAGCATTGCCACAAAAAATATGGGAGACTGAGCACCTTGCTTCAGAAGTGGATCTGATGTTTCTAGAGGCAATAAGAAAATATGGAGTTCTTCCGCAGATATGATTTTGAGCCAGTATTAGCTATCTCGTTTTATGCAAAAGATATAATTTCTGAGACATTAGAAAGAGATCTTGAGTGGCATAATTATCCCACATCTCCCTCTTGCAGAATAGTTACAATTTGCTCTGCAACCTGCAGTTTTCTAGGCTTTATCCCATCTGTTAGCTACTTAGATTGTGCAGACCCTGGATTTGCCCTACTCTTACAAAAACCTTCTTCTTAATACTGGACAGGAAGGAAAGGTGAAACCCTGCCTGTGCAAGTCATGTGATGTCATTGAAAATTACTTTAGGTAAAACTGGTGCAAAGGACTGTGTAGAGCCAGCTCTTTTGTTTATTCTGGGTTCTCATTTAGCTAAAGTGGATTTGAAGTAAACCAACTTTAATGCACAGGAGTATTCACGCAGAGATTGCAACATCAAATGGGTTTGATTTGAAGTCAGGCAGCCAGTGCACGTAGACAAACTTTCTCTGGGAGCTTCAGGAATAGGCTGGGGCGGAAGGTGGTTGGAAGAAGCTTTGGGCATAAAGCGCGTTTAAGTACGTGCAGGTAAGACTCTTGGCTATGGTTCTGCTTGTGGCTTGGTAACGTCATTCCAGGAATTATGTCTGGATGTTAGATACTGCTCAAGTAATTTAAAAGCTAAGATAACTTTCCATATTGAGACTACGTATCTCCCTACCTTTAGATTGTGCAGTTGATAGGAAAAATCAAACCTTTGTCTTCTATTTAATTTTGAAATAACACCAAGACCTCTTCCAAGGGACAGTAGGAAACTTGCATAGTTTTGTTTCAGAAATAACAACGATACAACCTTGCTTATTGCAGATGGCTGTGATTGCAGGTTTGACTCCTGAAACTAATTTGCGGACTGATGAAATATTCTTTCCCTACATACCGATGTGATCAGTTGCTGAGTGAGAAGCAGCTCACCTACACAACCACTTTCCAGCCAGACACAACTAAATGATGGGTTGAACACTGCCATCCACCGGCTGGCTGCACAGAAAACTTGTTGCACTTAAATTTCTTTAAGGTAATATGAAAAAGTACCTGGTGGTGTTTTGTTTTCTTTTTTTAACATGTTTAACTTCCCTGTCAGGACTTTCTAATCAGCCTGTATGATGATGGGTTTAATCTACAACAAGGTTACCTCAGAAATACTTTATATATAAGTGGGCGATTGTGCTTAGAGGCTATTAAAAAAAAAAAAGAGAAAGAAAAAAGTTCTTAGCCCAACAGATAAGTTTTGACTGTAAGGAGAATTAGTTTTCCAGAACATAAGCTGTCCAGCCAGAGGAAATACACGAATTTATATAGAAAGTGCAGGACACACAATCCTTAATACAGGTCTGTTTTATAACATTTCATGGCTATGCTTAGAATGTGCATCAGTGGCATTACTTCTAGTGTGAGCTTTTTGTTACAGACAGAGATTGAAGAAGTTTCTTGGTTGCTTCCTTTTTCTGAAGTCTGCTTTACAACCTACAAAGCCAGCTGGCACTGTGAATCGCTCTTAGTACAGAAAGGCAGGCTTGTGATTAAGTCACAGGAGTGGGAGTGCGAGGTTCTATTTTGGGCTCGGCCACAGACATCATGGTTTATCATAGGCAAATCTGCTAATTTTCACTATCAGTCATACGGACAACCCAACTGCTCGCTGGAGGGGCTTCTCCTCCCACCACCAATGAAGGAATGGAGTCAGAGCACGTTGCACTCTAGCAGTCTCCAGCGAATGTCCTGGAAAGCAGTGGCAACTGAACACCTCTGAGCAGTGCTAAATTTAGAGCTTTTCTAACTTGTATGTGGGGATGGCACAGGCAGAAAAGTGGGTTCTTTGACAGCTTGGTTCATTCTGCCTCCCTGATCTCAGAAGTTTCCCGTGAGACTTTAAACATATTCTTGTTAGGTCCTGACGTGCCTGAGGAAGACAGCGTCAGAGTAGGATGGAATTTAACTTAGGAAATGACAGCAAGATCCAACACCATCTTTACTAATAAAACCAGTATGTGACAGATTTCAGTGTTGTGCCTCATTCTGATGTTAGCTACAACTGTATTATCCAGAAGCAACTCATTGATAGTGACCAAACTATTTACAGAGTTAAAAAAAAAAAAAAAACAAACCACCAAAACCAATCCAGAACTTGATGTTTTCACTGCAAGGGTGTCTGAGGCAAATTTCAAACATGGTGTGATTGATTAGAAGCTGTATAGTAATGCAGGATGATGTCAATGTAGGAATGATTAAAGAATCAACTAGTAGCTACTTTAAGGACAGTGTATGTTGTTCTTTATTAACTACAACTATGCGAGACAAAGTATAAAGAAATACAGAGCGATCTTCTAGGAAATAAAAATTATATTCAGAATAGTACTTACAAAGGACTTGCCTGCATAAATTTATGTTCAATGAAATTCACTCTCCAGCTGTAAAAAAATGTATTTTTGTATGAATAAGAAAAGAAACAAAAGAAAATCAGTTCCCTCAGAGGATTCACTTGCTCTGTTGTTTTTGCAGTGATAGCTTGTGAGATACAGGAAACTAAGTAGGACATAAACAATATAAACTTGACTGGGCTGGCAGAAATGGTGAGAAGAAGGTGCAATTTTAAGTATTCATTTTTAGTAATCTTAGATCCTGCTAGTGACATCCTTTTTTTTTTTTATGACTGGTTTTATTTTGGCGGGTCCCTTTACACAGGAGAAAAAATAACAACAGACAAACTCACACCAACCACCATCTTCTCCAAGGATTAGATTGTGCTGTGGAAGGCTGATGTCATCTGCTGATTCATTTTATCAGCCAGAACGAGGACATAAAACCTCGTTCAAAAATGAGTAATGGAGCACGGGAAGACTGGATGGAAAAAAACTGTGCTCAGGAAGAATCTTGAGCTGAGGTTTGTCTTGTACAGACAAGCAAGAGAGGCAAACGCCTAGAAGAAATGTCACTCTTTCATGATTAGAAATCTTCTGTTTCCAAGCAGTATTAATGTATACCAAGTTTATACCCATTTGTTGTTGTTTCGAATTCTTCCTTTAAATAGTTGATTTTTTTCCCCTCCCTAGCAATTAAACACTTTCTCCCCACCAAGGAAATACAACGCCATAAATAGTTGAGTTACAGACAACTAGAGAGATGTCTTTTAGCTCTTTTACTGATTTGAGAATACAGTATTGGATCAGCAGAAGAGCATTCTTGCCAAAGGTGGGCTAAGGGGCATCTTCTTACGCTGTTTTGTTGGATGCACTGTCAAAAGGTACTGAATGTAGACCAGTTAAGGTTTCAGTCTGGGGTTTTATGGTTTTGGGTTTTTTTTATAACAAGAAACAGAGCAGACATACTGTTTTGGAGCAAACCACTGCTACTGCCTTCTTACTAGCTGTTACCTCCTCGCTCCATAGATCCTGGTCACTGCCTGTATCTCCTTTCCACTTCTTTCCCCTCCCCATGCCTTTTTCCCCTTTTCTCTGGTAGCACATCAGCAAAGCCTGAACTAATTGACCTTGTAAATCTTGTTAATGATGTTCACTCAGTTCCTCGCTTTCAGCATCAACGCACAGGGCCTCAGCAGCAGAACTCAAAGTTAGGAAGCAGTATTTTTGGCTAGCAATGCAGGAAGTAAGCCGTAACCAACAGACGCATTTGATGGCTGTGGAAATATGTTTCGCTTTAAAGGGAAGCGTCCTGGATGCACCCAGGTCGCTGTTGTGAGGGCTTTTTTTTTTTTTTAATGTTACATAAATGCAAATAATGTAGCGCTACGTGAATTTGAGTACAAGCGGGAGCAGGGTGCGCTCCGCGTTCCCCGCCGCCCCGTCCGCCTTCGCACAGACCCCCTGCAGGACCGGGACTGGCTGTCCCCTTGCCGGAGGGTGCCGGTGCCAGCGGACTATCCCGGGAGGCTGCCAACCAACCGGAGGCCCGTAAGGCACCGGGGGAACCCAGCGGGGCCTCTCCGCCTTCCGCCCTGAGACCGAGCGGGGCCGGGCCGGGC